CTCCTCTGGGGAGCCAGTGAGGTGAGTCATGGAGCGCAGCACAGGGCTGAGCGTGCAGTAAGCGCCGGCTGCCAGCGGCACCACCATCCTGTCCACTCCTCCCTTCCTCCCACTCGTCTGCAGCAATGCCCGCCTTCCCAGAGCCCCACACTGCTGACCTACAGCACACCCTGCCCTGCTGCAGGGCCCTGGCTCTGTGGGGGGGCCGCAATGACTACCTTCCGCCACAGGCAACCCTTGCGAGCTACATGGAAAAAGAGAAGGTGTCAGATCTGGACTCAGTTCCAGCCTGGCTGAGCAACCCAGGCAGCCCTCTGCCCGCGCCAAGCCTCAGCTCCCTTCTCTGCAATTTGGGGCGAGAATACCCGACTTGGGCTGGGAGGGGGCTCCAGGGAGGGCTCTTGGAGGCAAACCCCCACATGCTCACAGACACACCTTGATGGGGAGCGTGATGTCTGCGTAGGCGCAGAAGCCCCCGCCCCGGTCGCTGGAGCAGTGGTGGAAGCCGCCCCCTGCGGAAGGGCAGACAGCGGCACTGGTCAGGCCCCGGCTCCCCTGTCCAGCCACCCCTCCCGCACTCCCCTTTCTCAGCTTTCTCAGCTCCCAGGGACCGCTCCTCAGACTCCAGGTTGGCAGAGTAAACTGAGCCCCTCAGTTCCAGCCACCCCTCAGGGCGTCCCCAGCAAGTCGGCCACAGTGCCTGCTCATACCCCCAGGTGACAGGGAGCTCATCACCCCCAAGGCAGAAAGCTGCTGGCTACTCCCTGCCCCCATCAAGCTGGGCCTGCCTCCACGTGACTCCCTGCACCAGAGGGGGTGGTGGCAGGCAGGACCACCTGATTCTGCAGGAGGCGGAAGGGGATGGTTGGGAAGGGCACTCACTGCTGGTCAGTGCCGCCCATGGCAATGGGGAGGGGCTGGAGACCAGGACCCACCGACCCCCAGTCCTGCCTCAGACAAAGCTCAGAGCCCCAGGGCGGGCAGCAAGCCCTTCCCCTGCAACCCCTGGAAGAACTTGAGTGGCAGGGCCCTGTGAAATCGAGCCCAACACCTGCCCCCCCAGACAGCGTGAAGCTGGGGCCCATGGACGCAAGGGACTTGCCCCTTCCCCTACTCAGGAGGCCATCACAGGGTCATAATGGTGAGGTAACAGCCAACACTGAACCGCAATCAGACACTGAGCTTGCTGAAGACTCCCTGCAGCCCTGGGGGGGCACTGTCGCCACCAACACCCCCATTCTACATATCAGAAGGCCGACTACACAGGTCAGCAACTTTCCTAGGGTCACAGCTGGGTAACAGCAGAGCCAGGACTCAAACCCAAGGCTGCATCGGGACCGGGCTCTCAAGCTCTCCCAGGCCCCCACACCGTCCACGCGGAAGGGTCCCCGAGGCCCTCCTCAGAGCCCCGCTGTAGACATGCAGGGCACGAACCACTCGCTTGTCTGTCCAGCAGGGCGTCTAAGAACATCGCCGTGCCAGACCTAATGCCAGGTACCTGGCAATACCAACAGAGCTCACAGCCGAGGGCAGGGCAGACCCTGCCGTGGGGCTCTGAGCAAGCCACCAAGCTGTTCTCGCTGTTGCCCACTTCCTCATCGGGGAAATGGGCCTGATGACAGTTATGCCTAGCTCACACGAGAGGCTGGATGGGAAAGGGTTTTACAAACTGTCAAGTGCTGTGCCTCCACGAGGGACAATTACAGGGATAAGGACGACTGATGAGTGCAGCCCTTCTGTGAGCCAACCTTGTGGGAAAGTCTGGGGGCCGGGGAGTGCAGGCCCTGGGGACCCTGGGTCTATCCACCCATCTCCACACGACCAAGCCACTGTGGGCCACCCTGGGCCCCAGGAGACAGATGGAGTCTTTCTGGAGAGATGCACAGAGAAGGTTTCAGTGTCATGCAGAGATCCCAGGGGATGGCACAGGCTGTCTGGGAGGGAGGGAGCTCCCTGTCATTGGAAGTATGCAAAGGCAGGGCTGGGAAGCCACCTGGGGAACTCTTTAGATAAGGATCCCACATCAGATGGAGGCACTGGTTGGTCCCTCCCAGGAACCAAGGGGCTGCACACCCACCTCCAGGCCACTCCATAAGGAGGCTCAGGGTGGCTCTCTGAATTCACAGCTGCCACCTCCAGGGTCCTCCCACCCTGCCCCACCCCCAGACCCGTTTCGGCCCTCGCCATCAGGCCAGGCTGGACATTCCCGAAGCCCGGGCACTTACCCACATTGATGGCCCAGCCTCGCTCCACGGCCAGCTTCCCTGCCTTCAGAGACAAGCAGAGGGTGAGGGCGCGGGCAGCTGATTCCCTCCCTCCTTCCCTCACCGATTTGCGGACTCATTCTACACACACTGCTTCCAGCCAGGGGCAGGGTCGGGCTGAGCTGCGAGGTGGGGCAGAGGAGGAACCCCACTCCAAGCAAACTCAGCCAGTGCAGGAAGCAAGTATCAGACTGGCTGGCACATGAGATGTATGTGCATAAGCCCCTTTGCAATTTTGCAAGGGTACTGGAAGAAATAAAATTGCTCATCGTCAATCACAAGTAAGCCGACGATAACTTTAATGTGGCTTTCAAAGGGAAAATGGGCAATTTTTTCCTAATGGAAATATAGTAGACTGGATACTGAAATCCTGCAGGAAATCATAGTTTTGGGGCAGGCAGTAATATTCCACTAAGCTAAAAATATAAAAAGGTACAAATGTGCAAATCTAAAAGGAAGCTGTAGGGGATCGGCAGGTGCTGCCCCAGGGCTGGGTCGGATGGCCACACACTGAAATGTGGAATGTTCCTCTGCCTCCAATCGACGAGGCAGTCTGTGGCTAAGTTCTCAGAAAACTACACACAAGATGTGAGTATTCTTTGTTGTCACCTAAGGTGGGGGAGGCGTTGAGATCGTGGGGGTTAGTTTTCCATCTTAAGTCTGGGTGCACTAGAGCCATAGTTTTAGGGTATACTCTTTGGGGGACGGAGATATATCTTACATACTGGCAAATACAGTAACTAACAGGAGGTCACAGGGAAAGGAACAATGAATTCTAATGTCCCAAGATGGGTAAAAGGGCTTTTGGAGACAGGGTCATTTTTGCTGAGCCCTGAGGAATATTTAGGATTTCGCTCAACTACTAAGTGTGGGGAGGGCATTCCAGGGCAAGGAGGTGGGAAGGAGCCGGGGTGCAGGGGCCCCCAGCCCAGCTGTGCCGCCCCCTCCCCACTTACCATTATGGTTCCTCCCGTTTGGGTCCGCAGGGGCCTCAGCACCTTCCTCTGCACGAGGAAGTTGGGGAGAAAGACGACAGGGGGGATTTCCGTGATGGTGGCGACAACAAAGGACCACTGCGGAAAGAGACACGCTGTCGGCCTCCCACTGCGTGTCCAGAGGCAACCGGTGGGAAATCACATCCCCTTGCGATGCCTGAGGACGGTCTCAAGGTGCCCCTGGATGAATGCCCTGGCCAAGCGTGCTTCCTTTCGTGAGAAATGAGAGCTGGACCCCCATCTGGCGGCGGGAGCAGTTTACACAGCGCACTTCCTACAGCCAAGCCAGCCCAGATTCCTCGGCGCTCCGAAGCCCTCGGCTGCCCTCCTGCGCCTAGAACAGGAACTACAGAGGGCTCCAAGTCAGCTGTGCAGACTGAGGGCTTTGGGACGACTGTTCCGCCCCCGCCCACCACTGTACAGAAGGGGACACTGAGGCCCTGGTCTCCTTCCTCCCCCGCACTGCATGGTTTTTTCATCCATTGGGAATCGGAGCTCCCTGAAAAAGGGGCATCCTGCCCTCATCTCTGGTTGCTGAGGCAGGATGCCTAGGGCACGTGAAAAGTATTTATGCCAAGGCCAGGGTGGAGTGTGCCCTGCGACCTCCAAGTCCCCCAGGCAAACACCATGGCTCTGACTGCCCAGCTGCACCCAAATCCTGAGTCACCTCCGCCTGCCCGAGACTGAATCTAAGCCTTTCTCCTGCTCCCCCGACTCCAGGCCGGTCCCTGGCGGGCCCTGGCTGCACGGTGCCCAGGGGGAGTCACTCGCCTTGCAGGTGTGCAGTAAGTGCCCGCTAGGCGGCCCGAGGCTGGTGCTGGGCGTCCTGTCCCCATGCCAGGACACTCACAGCCTAGTGGGGAGGCAGGTAAGTCAAGAGGCACTTACGTGCAGTGTCTTCACGTGGCCTCCTGGGCATCTTCCCATACCCTCACCCCCACCCCAGGCCGTCCCTTGCCCTTCACCCTCGGGAGTCCTGTGGTTCCGACCCAGTCTCTCGCTCTCCCACCCGCCACGTCTGCTGGGTCTCTCC